TTTTAGGCTGAGGGTTTGAAATGGAAACTTGGGTTATTGAGGCTTGAGGCAGGTCTCGCGATTTTGAAACACCACATTCATTTTGTTATTTGCTTAGGGTTTTTCATATTTAAATTAGTGTTTTCAGGTTTTGATTACACAGTTTGTTGGAGTGTAATTAATGATCTTTGCTGTATCATTGTCAAAACTTAGTTTCATTTCTCTTTGTTTTATAGGTTTCGAAATGAATGCTGAATTTTTGGACGGTTTTCTTGTTTTTCAAGAAGATACAATGTTCCTTAGGTTGAATATATTCGGTGGTTTTAATGATGAATAATAACTTCTTTCAAATTGCTAACTTTTTTGCTCCCAAATGACTATCTTTTTTGTTTTCACTCCTATTTTATTCCTTACATTCAAATGTGTTATGAATCTGTACTGGATTCGCAACGCAGAGTTCAGCTGTATATGGCTTTTCAAATGTCCATATCATGAGGGAATTTTACGGTTATGCATATTCTAATTAAAAGTTAATTGCTTCTCTCACCAGGGGTTTTTGTTTTATGGTTATTCATATTTCAATTAAAAATTATAAGCATGAATATAGGATCTTAGTCTACTAACTATTCCACGTAGGGTGGCAGTGTGTGAATTCGAAGGCAAGGATGTTTAGGTTTGGCGAGGGTTTAAAGATTATCTGAAGCTAGTTTCCTTTTGTTAATTACAACTAGTCTATATATCNTCTTTGTGTTGGTTTTGTTGTTCATCCGGGAAATTGGATGTTCCTTGGCTTGCATATATTTGGTGGATCCTTTTCACGAAGAATAAGTTCTCCTATTCTTAATTTTTCCCTGATGCATTGCGAGCTTGTTTTTAATATACATGATTAAAAGGTAAATTCGATCATGAAACACATCACAGGGGGGGGGTATATTACCAATTCAAATTTAAGATTAAAAGCATGACAAGCATGTAATATATATAGTATCCTAATCTAGCTAACATTCATTTTAGGCTGGAGGTGCGACTCCTATACTTGGGCGGCCGAGAATGTGTGGAGGTTTGATGGTTTTTTTACACTTCTTTCTTTTTGTTAGTTTGAGCCGATTTAGGGATCTTCAAATTAGTGTTGGGACTCTATATGGAATTCTGTCTAAATAAGGTCTGCAAATCACAGAATCCTATTGTTGTTTTTCTGATATTTTGGGAGATTGGGTAATCGCTGATTTGCATATCTTCGGTGGGTCGTCTTCATTCTCGATAGGTTTTCCCTGTTTCCTTTCTTTTCTTTTTTTTTTGTTGATTTTGAGTTGCTCATCTTTTTTTTTTTATTTACTCTTGTGTTGGTGATGAATAGCATTGAAAATTTAATATGGATTTACAGGATTTGGACGGATGATTCAAGTCGGACGAGGCTATT